CACTGATCCAGATCCGTTAGGTGGTCCGAGACCTTAACACTTTTGACGAGCATGTCGTCGATGTACACCTCCATATTTTTACCGATCTGATCTGCGAACATTTTGTTCACTAGACGCTGGTAGGTGGCTCCCGCGTTTTCAACCCGAAGGGCATGACTTGATAGCAGTAGATGCCTTGGTCAGTGATGAAACTAGCCCTCTCTTGATCTTCTGGCGCAAGTAAGATTTGGTTATACCCTTGGTATGCATCGAGGAAGCTGAGGAGCTCGCATCCTGAGGTCGAATCGATGAGTTGATCGATTCTAGGTAGAGGAAAAGGATCCTTAGGACAAGCTTTGTTGAGGTCGGTGAAGTCTACGCATAGTCTCCACTTGCCCCCGGGTTTGGGAACGAGTACTACGTTCGACAACCATTCATGATATTGAACTGGTCGTATGTGGCCCGCCTCAAGGAGTTTTGCCACTTCCGCTTTGATATGCTTGTTGCGTTCGGGACCAAATGTCCGTTTCCTCTGTTTGACTGGCTTCAACCTCTTGTCGACGTTGAGCCGATGTAGGGCTACCTGAGGGGGAATGTCCGACAAATCTTGGGCTTTCCAAGCGAACCATCTCCATTGTGCCGCAAGAATTTAACTAAATGCTTCTCGATCTCAGGGTCTAAATCGGATCCAATGCGTAGGAGTTTGGAGCTATCTCCAGGGGTGAGCTCTATGAGCTTAAGCTCTTCAACAGCTGCTAGCTTGATGCTATCGTCTGGTACACTGATGAGGATTTCTTTATTGTCCTCAATGATCGCATTGACCCACTTCCGTTTGTCGGATTTTTGGGTGTCGTCTCCCCTTCCGGGTGGTTTAGGCTTCTTGGAGGGTTATCGTAGGGCCCTTGCATAGCACTCTCGGGCGAGACGTCTGTCTCCAAGTATCTCTCCCATTCCATAGGGAGTAGGGAATTTCCACTTCTGATGGTAGGAGGAAGGTACGGACTTGAATGTATGGATGGCTGGCCTTCCTAAGATGATGTTGTAGGGAGATGGCTTGTCGACGATGAGGAATTTGATCAGCTTGGTGATTCGACAAGGGTCTTCCCCTAAAGAGACGGGCAGCTCTATCTCTCCCATGGATAAAATGCCTTCCCCTGTGAATCCTTTCAGGGGTGTGGAGACGGGATTAAACCGGGCATTATCTATGCCCAGCTGCTTAAAAGCGTGGAGGTACATGATGTCAGCTAAGCTTCCACCGTCCACTAATATCTTCTTGACCAAGAAGTTGGCCACCGTTGTTGTTATTACCAATGCATCGACATGGTCTTCATCTGGACCTTCGAGGTCGGAGGAGTTGAAGACTATGCTGTGATCAGGTCTTCGTATTTGATATATGCGTTCGGATGGAGAAGCGCGTTCTTGATTCATGCGCGCTGATCGAGCGAGTGTGCGTCTTGCATTCTGTGAATCGCCCCCCGCCGGTCCTCCGGAGATGAAGGAGATGATTCCCCGGGTAGGCTGGTTATCATTGTTATCTAGGTCACGTCGGTGACTCCCATCTTCTCGTCTTTGTTGTTGATCTCGATTGTTATCTCGGCGTGGAGGATCATCACGGCGTTTATTTCGCGGCTTATCGATGTATTCGCCTAAATGACCCTGTTTGATCAGCCTATCAATCGCCATTTTGAGTTGTGCACACTCTTCCGTAGTATGCCCTCTGTCCTTATGGAATCGACAATAACGATCCGATTTTTCTCGCTTTGCGTTTGGCTGCATAGGACGTGGAGGTTCTGCTAAACCTTTCTGCTCTATCACGTGAAGGATTCCGTGAGGAGAGCGTTTAGCGGAGTGAACCTATTGTAGGAGGAAGAGGGTTGGCCTTGAGGTGGTAGTGGTGGACGTCGATCATCGCGCCTCCTATTGTCCTGACGGTCATCTTCCCTTTTTCTTTTAGGAGGAGCATGGGTAGAGGCTTCCTCTATCCGGACGTATTTTTCGGCTCGATTCAGCAACTCCTCTAAGTTGCCTGGGGGTCTTCCGGTGATAGATTCTTTGAATCTACCAGGTTTCAAGTTATGCTGCATAATCCCGGAAAGCATGTCTTGCCCCACACTGGGGACTTCGTGGACGGCCTCTACGAAACGCTTAATGTAGTTGCGGAGCGTTTCGTTATCTCTCTGTACTACAGAGAAAAGATGAGCTGGGGTCTTGGCATATTGTTTGTTGATGGCGAATTGGTTGGTGAACCGGGTCGACAACCGAGCAAATGTGTCAATGGACCCTATGTGTAGGGAGTTGAACCAATTCATTGCCCTCTTGGAGAGAGTGGTGCGGAACATTTTGCACATCGCAGCATCTGTTGGGCCATATAAATCCGCCATGGCACTGAATTTCTCTATATGTTCCTGTGGGTCGGTGGTCCCTTCAAATTGAGGTAACCCTGAGATCTTTACTCCTTGAGGTAATACCTCATTGAGAATATCTATGGTGAAGGGACTGCGTCTCGTTGGGAGAGGCATTCTCTCACCCATTTGATTATTTGGTTGAGAGAAAAGGTTTTGGCGAGACATTCGGCTGTTTACCTCGCCTTCTCCCTCATTAAAGAGAGGGACTCTAGGTGGTGATGCGTTCCCCCGGAGGGGTGAGCGCCGACGTTGTTGCCTAGGCTGTGCTCCTCTGTGATTAGTAGATAGCTGCACTCGGGACCGTGGGTCCGACGTAGAGGAGGAGACACTTATTTGATTCTGGATTGGCGGTGGGGCCACAGGTGGCACTATAGGTGGAGCTTGCGCTGGTATCGCATTGAGAGCGTTTTCTCCCATCGTGGCGATATATTGAGTTACGGCCTCCATGGCGGCGCGAGTAGAAGCTTCCGCTATTATGCGTTGGAGCGCGTCCTCGGTTATTAATTGAACCGTTCGAGGGGCAGGGAGTGGTGGATCGGCGAGTGGTGGGTCCCGAGGATGGATCACCTGAACCTCGCGAGGTGGATCTGCAGCACGTGTAGGAGCTGGCTCCGTAGCACGTGGAGGAAGTTGTTCCGCGGCGCGTGGAGGAGGTGGTATGCCAGATCCTCCACGGACTGGGAGGTTATTTGCTGTGTCATTTTCTCTCCGAGTTGACGCCTCAAGAGGATCTTGTTGGCTACGTGATCTGGTTTGCATCGTTCCCACAGACGGCGCCAAAATGATGATGCTAAAGTTTAGCTCACCTAGGATAATGTAGAAAACGAGCTGGGAGAGCAAAGCTGATCAGTAGCTAGTCAATTCGATGCTCCTGAGGTCCCTACGAAAAGAGCACACGTGAACTAAGCCGGGGGTTGATCCGGCGGAAACCCCTCCGACGCTCAAGTCAGATGTACGGATCGTAGAGAGAGTAGAGAGAATAAAACTCGAGGTGAATTGTCAAATATGAGAACGTACCTTTACAAATGAATAAAACATCTATTTATATATCGGTAATTGGGTTGGACTTACTTTGTTGGGCCCAAGCCTTACTTTGAAGGTGTTTGGGCTTTCGTATAGTGGGCCTAATTAGTAAGTAACTTTGAGGGCCCATTGGGCCGGCCCATTTAGGTATATCAATATCTGTCCATAATGGTATATTTGTTTCTCTTTTAACTTATTAAAATAATCCTAGAAAAGTCCAATAAGCTGTGGCCAGGGCAATATTGTCATTCTTGAAAATAAATCGAGTCCCGCACGAGGGGGAGGGAGTTTTGATTTGATTTTGAATTAGCCATAGGGGTGAAAGTCGGATGTATCGGATCGGAATTAGCCTTTTCGGAAAATTTCCAAAAACTTTCGGAAGTACAAAATCAATTCCAATTCCAATTCCAAAATTTTCGGAATCTAAAAATTCATTCCAATTCCAAAAGGCCCGGAAATTTCGGAATTTCGGAAAAAAATCGGAAATCACATAAGCTTTAAAATTTCAAAACTTAGCCGAAATTTTCTAAAATGTTCATAATTTTTCGAAAATAAGAGCATCCACGTCGATAAAAGTAAAACTAATAATTACTAAATTTCAGTTCAAAATAATAAATAAAAATAAACACAGCATAATATCCAATAAAACTTCTAACAATAATTCATTATGTCAAAATCCTAAAACAAAACTTATAGGTATACTTTTCGGAAAATAAGTATTATATAATATATACTATTTATAGGTGTATTTTTAGGAAAAAAATCGGAATTATTCGGAATTAATTTCGGAATTAAATCGGATCGGAAATTGGAAATTCCAAATTTATTTTATACAATTCCAATTCCAATCCAAAAAAATCGGAAAATTTCGGAAATCGGAATTCTGGAAGTCGGAATGAAAAAAGTTGTTCCAAAATCGGAACTTTTCGGGTCGGAACCGGCGGAAATTGGAAAATCTGTTCCAACTTGCACCCCTAATTAGCCATTTTAGAGGGGAAATGAAATATTTGATTATATATATATATTTAATTTTTAAGAAGAAAAAAAAAAGAAGGTTATACTTATTTAATATAGAGAAATGGTGGAGCCCGCAAAAAAAAAAAAAGGAAAAGTGGGAGGAAGGCGTTTGTTTGACCAACGTGAGAGACAGTATTTGGTTTGAAATAGAATGGTAGGCCCTCCCTCCTCCTCCTCCTCTCGGCCTTAATCTTATCGATCATTCGCTAATTATCTGTGGCCCAATCCTTTACTGCCACCACACCTTATTATATTACTACTTCATTCTTTGTATCGTGCGCTTCTCATTATCTTATTATTCTTTTTTTTTTTTATTTTTTATTTTTTTAATACGAAATAGTTTAATAGGAATGGATCTGAGTCAAAGAAGAGAGATCCGAAATATATAGGATTTTTATGACAATTAATTAATTAATAAAGTTGAATTAATAAAGCCCAATTGTATGAACCACTGATGCAATTTTTGGAATTGGGAATGTTGAATGTTGAGAACCTGATGATGAGATCGAGTTGAAGAATTATAATTACATAGCAGGCTTTTGAATGGAAGATATAATTATTAAGTCCATTGGACCAATATTCAGTGGGCCCATTGGACCGTAACTGAAAACCCCAAAATCAGTCAAACCCCATCTCCAGTCCACTCGTCAAAAATCATTATGCTTTAAATAAAATGAAATAGAATTAGAATTTTAATCTTGAGCTATTGATTCATTTTGTGGGAGGGAGAGAGAGAGAGAGAGATTACATACAAATACAAATACAAATACAAATCAATTCTTCATGGCCTCCATCCACCGGGAACAAGAGATAGTATCAACGCTAAACTTGTTTTTCTTTTTCTCAAATTTTTCTCTATTCTCTTCTAAATCCTCTATTTTTCTTAATCGTAAAATTCGTTTCTTCCGGATTATCTGTAATTCGTGCTCGAAAAACAAATCACCGCTCATTCTTCACTTTGCAATCTCTGGTCTTCATGTTAGCTGTTCTGTTTCGTATACGGTCGTCATCTTAAAATAGTTTAACTAATTTTTGAACACTCAAAACAAAATTACAAAAAATCTACTGTAGCACACGTTTTTTTTTGCTAAAAATCGATGAAGTGTTCAAATATTTTTTAGTATTTTTAACGTACAATTATATAGTATAGATTATTTTAATTCATAAGTAACAAAGAAAAAGTTCATCTAAAAATTGTTTAATTAATTTTTGAATACTCAGACAAAATTACAAAAAATCGTATACTATAGCACATGTTTTTAGCTAAAAATCAAAGAAATGTTCAAATCTTTTTTAATATTTTTTAACGCACAATTATATAGTATAGAGAATTTCAATTCATAAGTAGCAAATGAAAAGTTCATCTAAAAATTGTTTAAATATTTTTTGTATAATGAGACAAAATTAAAAAAAAAATGTTTATTATAGTACTCATATTTTGGGTAAAATTTGTGAAACGTCCAAAAAACTATTTCATGATAAAAAAAATGTATGCTATAGTAAATAGATTTTGGATAAAATTGGTGGAACGGCTAAAAAATATTTTTACGATTAAAATCACCTAAAATTGTACGCTATATAGTACGTAGATTTTGGATAAAATTGGTGGAACGTCCAAAAAACTTTTTCAAAATCAAAATCACCAAAAACTGTATATACCATAGTACACAGATTTTGAGTAAAATTGGTGGAACGTCCAAAAAACTATTTCACGATCAAAATCACCAAAAACTGTATACTATAGTACACAAATTTTGGGTAAAATTGGTTGAACATCGCAAAATTTTTTTCACGATAAAAATCACCAAAAACTGTACGTATAGTACACATATTTTGGGTAAAATTCGTGGAACGTCAAAAAAAAACTTTCACGATCAAAATCACAAAAAACTGTATATTATAGTACACAGGTTTTAGTTAATATTGATAGAATGTCCAAAAAACTATTTCACGATCAAATTAAATCACAAAAAACTGTACACTAGTACACATAATTTAGGTAAAATTGGTGCAACGTCCAAGAATCTATTTCACGATCAAAATTACAAAAAACTGTAGTGTGTGTAAAATTGGTAGAACGTCCAAAAAACTATTTATTCATTATTTTAACCCCTCATTTAATATTCCATTACAATCCTTTTCTTCATGGAAACTTCTGCAAAGACAGCAACTAATGTCAATGAATTATTTCATGAGATAGGTACAAAAGTATACTAGCTAACTGGAGATCAACATCTTAAAAAAGCATATACCCTCTTCTTCTTCTTTGAGTGTGTGTGTGTGTGCAATTCTTGTTTCTTCTTTCCTTTCCTTTCCTTTCTTTCATGTCTGTCACCAAACACCACCATGTTATGTTGTTATTTGAACATATTACAAAAACAACTCAATTAATTAGAGGACTTATAACTTTGATATATTTTGCATAATTATATGATCGATCGGTATGTTTGTTTTGATTAAAATATTCTTAAGTTAATAAATTATTAAAAGATGTGATTAATTATTATAATACTCCATATATATATAGCCAGTTGGTGGTGGCTTAATGCATGCGTCGTCCTAGCTAATTAATTAAAAGAAGTTAATTATGCGGCCAAAAGGGACAATTAAACTTTGGACGAAGAACAATGTAAATTGATTAATGCTCTACTTTGATCTAATAATCCAATTATCGACAAAAACAAGTGCAGACAAAGTCAGTTGCAGATTTTTCGATTCTCGGATGTTAGCGTCATCTATCTTCCCATATACAACTACTATCTTAATATTTCCGAAATACCTTTCACCTTAAACTAGTATTGTAAGTACAAATTTAATTCAATTAATTCGTGGGGTTTTTTTTAATTCGATCATAATATTATATGCTATGCTTGCTTTTAATTCCAGTACTACCTGCTAATAATTAACTCTTATTTTTAATCATGTCTGTATTATAATGCTATTTACTTTTTCCAGAAATAGCAAAAAGCAACATTTCATTTCTGAGAGAGAGAGAGAGAGAGATGCCAATCTACTTTTCAAGTGATTAATAATTTTGAGGATTTATGTCATGGCCACATCAGCAACTTAACTTCCTGTTTAATTATTATGGTTCTGTTGAGACTCTGCAATTAGGCTTTAGGTTTTTGTACTAACTAATTAATTAAACATGAAACGATAATTATACATCTGACAATTACATCACAATCTAATTTTTCTATTGGTTCATTATTTGGAAATAAATTATATCCAAAATGATGTATACTTTAGTTTCACTTTCTTGTGTGTTGTAATGAAATGATGACGCAAAAGAAGTCACTGATTAGCTAAGCTTGGAGGGGATTAAAGGTGGGGTTTTATACATTCTTAAGATAAACAAAAGAGATTAATACATTCTTTAATTTTAAGAAAAATGGAAGCAAAAACCAAAACAATTAATTAAATAAATATAGAACATTTCAATAAACATATAATAAGAGTTTCGGTGCAGAATAGTATTTTCACAGATCAAACAATAAACCTAATGATGAATAGTTTGCGAGGTGCAACTACACGTGCATTGCTCGTGGCGAGCACTTGCTAGAACGAGTTTGATGCTCTTTACCTTTAATCTTTTCTTAATCTTTGTTTAAATATAACTAATTTAATCAAGGGGTAATATACTATGAGACCCTCATTTCAAATCTAATTTGAAATAAATGACAAATTTAAATTTTATTTTGAATTAAATCCTTAGTTTAAAATAATATATGACTCACATCCTTAATTTTTTTTATCCCTATCTTGCCTTTACACCTAAATCTTATAACCACATATTCACGTTTATTTCTCAAATCTACTGTTCCTCTTTTGTTCTTCTCTTTCTCTCTTTGTCTCGCTCTCTGGATACGTCTATCTCTCTCGTTTGAGTTATTTTTCTCGAGCTCAAGTTCTCTCTCTTCACCACTCCAATGCATGGTTTGAGGGCAAGTGGTGGCAATGATGATGGAGGCAGTGGCGGCATGTGGGGGGGGGGGGGGGGGTGCGAAAGCGGCGGGTGGGCTAGAGGGGAAGC